AACAATTTGATGTTAGGTTTATTTTATGGAAAGGATATCGTTTTGATATCTTTTTTTGTTGTTCAATCCAGATTTTAGTTATTACTGATTTGATAAGTAGGTACACGTATCTGTTTGGGGAACTTTTAGATGGTTTAATTACTGTTAAGTATCGTTGTTGTTGCTCCGATGAAATTGACCCTCAAAGATTTGCACGAATAATTTCGGTAAGCCAGTGGAACCCGCGCCCTGATGGGGGGGGGGGGGCCATTTTGGCTCCCCTGTGATTTTTCTTAAATAGCGAGAAAACGGCGGCGCGCAGCGCCGCCAAATTTTGGGTACCTTACCGGGCATCAATTTGACACCTTCACACAGAATTTCAAGTCACAGGTCACCTCAGGTCAGGAGTTATTGAGGTCAAACTGAGGTCATGTTTGAGTAAAAATGAGCAAACAAACATGACATCTTGAAACGCTCACCAATTCTACAGTTAACAAGCAATTTTAAAGTTCTTTATGTTGTTGTGTAGAGAAAAGACGGCGCTACAAAACTGCTATCTCGGATTTTCGAAATTTTGGGATTGTGACCCCCAAAAATCAAACAAATTGATTTTTTTAGAAAAACTCAAAAAATTTCCAATTTTTTTCGAATTTCAAAAAACGGTATATATGTGATAGTCCCTGCGCTCTTCGATATACATACCAAATTTTAGATCGATACCTCCTTTTTTGGCCAAGTTATAGCGAAAAAACTGTTAAAAATTGATGACGTCAAATTTTTGAACTCAATGTTTAGCAGTTCTAGACCTCGTAGCTCAAAACGGAGACCACCATTGAACTCCCTGTGACGAGCTGCATCGAATCGATACCCATTTTATGCAAAAATATCAACTTTGAAATTTGACCTAATTTGACCTGACCTTGACCTGACCTTGACCTGACCTTGACCAAAACGTGACCTTAGCTGGCCCTAAAGTCTGTCTGACCCACATAATCGCATTTGTCATGTAAAATGGACTATAAAACATGTATCACACGACACCTTCATATTGTGACCCCCCAGTGACCTGACCTCTGTGACCTGACCTGGTATCAGTGACCTCAAATAGCAAAATATGTGTTTGAAGAACATTTCCCCATCGATGATTTTCAATGAAATGCATTTTACTCGATTTTACAACGCATTTCTTGAAATGCCTGTAAACGGTGAAAATTCGACCTTTGACCTGACCTGTGACGTCATCGGTTTGACCGAGGTCAATGAAATTGGGTCACAAGGTAGTTCCCCGTTGGGGCTATCCAACACCGTTTACCGCTTGTCGCTATGTTGCGTGGTTCTCGAGATCTGAGGGGGGCCAAAATGCCCCCCCCCCCCCATCAGACCGCGTTGCTCGGCAGACCCCATCTGGGCGCGGGTTAACAAAAGCTGTCATGTTTTTATTTAAAGAAGCACCATCTAGGAAGCAGGACAACGATTCTGACCCCAATAGTCTGTAACCTGTGACCTCTTTCTGGTTGTCAGATGTCATCGTGTCACTCAAAAATGGTGGTTCAGTATAACTATGGGTCCATTGAATGTACGTTTTCAAACTTCTCTTCATTGGGAGCATGCTGAGGTGCAAGATTATGCCAGGTGAGCTCGCATCTTGATGAGATATACCCGACTTCTCTAAAGGTCAAAATTTGCTGCAGCACTTCCTTTGTTAAATACGAATATTTTTTGTTGCGTAACCTATTCTCAACCCGCGCCGGACTGGGGATGAGTTGAACACCACTGCTGTTTTTCAGATATCTAAAAAACGGCAACTCTCTGCTCCGTCACAACTTATAGCACAACTCGTCACAGCTCAACTGATAGCTCTGAAACTTTCAGGAATTGATAAAAAGTTACTTGATTTACAAAACGTATGTTTCGGTTTTTCGATACCGGAAGACCTGGCCCAAGGTCAGATAACTTTTCAGGATAAATGGGACTTTCAGTTGTGGTAAGTGGCTAATTAGAATATGCGGTGAAAATCCCAGTAACACCTGCTGTTTGACCTGACCTGACCCAACCTACGAATAGGGTAGTGTGGGGTAATTTGAACATATTTTTACGTCTTCTCCGTTGTACCAAATTCCATTTCAACCCTGGATGAAGAAAAACTGCTCCAGTAGCGTAAGTGTCACTTGCTTTCACCATGCAAGCCTCATTTCTGGACGAGCCGAGCATACCTTGAATAGCATAGCCTCACTTCTCCACCAAGAAACGGTGTTTTCAAATTGCCCCACCGTGGGGTAATTTGAACATACTGCCTTTACCTGTCATTAAAACGATAGTCTCGCCAGCACCGATGTTGTTTGACCCATAAACAAATAGGCAGAACAATTCTAAACATACCTTCACTTGAAAAATCAACACAACAGCAAAAATAACAGTTGCAGAGTATCAATATCTGCACGCTGCACACCGGTCAGTTGACAGAATTCGCCCCTCTTTAATTAACAGAACGTCTATCATTTTTGTTCGATAAAAACTCTCCCAACCGTACTACATCTGTTAAAGTGGTGCCAATCGAAACCTGGACATTTGGAGTTCTGATTTTGTCCAATGTCCAATTCGGAATTGGTTGGACAAAGGTAGCAGACTGGACAACATTGGACGATGGCTTGCTACACTTCAGCGCTTTTTATAAAGTAATCGTGCATAGCATTGATTGGCGAATGGAAAGCTTGTTAAGCTCTCAATATAATGAACACTTTTCGGCTGGTAAAATTACATGATAAGCAATATAAATGACGGTTTTGAGTGTTGATAGCTGCATAATTTTCGGACATATTTGGACAAATAGTTGACTTTAACATTTTTGGACGGAAAATAAACAAAAATGCCGGACATTAGACGGATATTAGACGAAAATTTTCTAAAACTGGCATCACTTATCTGCTACTGCCTTGGGTCGAAAATATTGGCAAAAAAAAAAAAACTGGGAGCGTTGTTTTTTTCGGAGCTATCCCTGTCTTCATTGAAATCCTCACACTATGTTCAAATTACCCCACGCTGAAAGTTATTTTGCCATTTTAAAAAAACAGGGTTCAAAAGCAAAGTTCTTGGATTGAAGGCACTGCTTAGGTCATTATACAACAAAAGCCGTTGCGTATTAGGCGCTAGCAATGCAAGATTTTGCGCTGCAATGAAGTTGCAATGACGTGTTGATAGGCGTTTTTCCTTGCGAAATTGATTTTTTACACTGTGCGTCAACATCTTCATTCCCTGAAACTGTAAACCCCGTTCATATGATAGCCCTTTTAGTTACGATAATTTCTCTCATTGGTCTTATTGTCATGCCACTTATGGATTTTCCGTAATTTTCTGTTATTCACACTATGTTCAAATTGCCCCACATGTTCAAATTACCCCACCCTACCCTAGTTCTCAAGCATACTGACTTGGAACGGAATTAAAGGCGACATTCGAAATCGGTTGCCAAAAAAAATCCCTGAAATATTCATTCCCAGAAGTCTCACATAGTTATCTTTATTGTTTTCAGATATCCCGGTCGCTGACCTAACCTGTCGAGTAAATAATACTGAAACCCAAACATTAGGCAATGGCATTAATCATAAAAAACACAACAAAAATGGGGATGGCATCCCCCCACCGGCCGAGGGGGGATGCCACCCCCCATATAGGTTTTTTCGTGATAGCTCCGAACACGCTGGCGATAGAGGGCTGAAACTTGGCATACCTGAGCTTAGATTCAAGCCGGAGCTTTTGAACCCAATCGCATTTTCGGGTCAGGTCAGGTCACTGATCAATGACGTCATAAGTGAACCTCTGCATGGTCTTCAGATGTCGCAACTTCGCAACGCCCTCACTGCCAGAGGAGCTTTCACAGGGAAACAAACTTGCAGGATCTAGTATCCATTACTAGTCTAGTCTCACAACTTGTATCTCTCGGATTTTTCCTAAAGGTCATATGAGGTCGGGTCATTTTCGTGACCTCACCATTATAAGTCAATGGGGAAAAATGAAAACTGCTATTCTGGCACCGGGAACGATCTGCAACTATCTCAAGCACACATAATCAAGATTTGATGCACTCCTTGCAGGGTTAGATGCGTCACTTTTGCATTGTTTACCTTGTTTAACGTCATTTATGACGTCATTAGGTTCATATTAGTTTTCCGTCAATAACTCCCGATCAAATTGAGCAAGCGGGTCGAGAAAGCCACCAATGGACTATGGAGTCAGGAAGACCTGCCGAATCGAATGGTATGCGACATGATCTCCTTCGACCAACTTCGTGACCTGGGGGCGTTGACCTGACCGTGACCTGAGGTCAACACCCTAAGTTGACCTCTCCCAAACAAAAAGTGTATCAAACGACGCGCCTGAGCGAAGCCAACACGATGCTGCCCAAATCGCGGCTCTGTGGCCGTTTTTTTTTTTTGCGAAGTTATTCACCAAAAACTGAACCGTACCTTGGGCACTTGACCTGACCTCAGAGGTCACCGGTTGTCCTAGGACCTTAAAATCGGATATCAATCTCTGCGTCTCGTAACGGCGCATACGCTCGTTTTTTTCTGCGACGCGCTAGCTCCACCAGGGGCGAAACGGCGGGGGGGATGTTACCCGTCCCCCCCCCCCCCCGGCCAGCGCGTATGTATAAAACCAATAGGTCCGGCGAGGTTTAATTAAAGCAATAAGAATTAACACCATAGTTAATTAAATAAATCGTAAATCACGTTTGGGCAAAGATACTAAGCTGTAGGCAGTGTCTTCCTATGACAACCGAAATTCCACCGAAATTCCATATAAAGGCCTTTCAGTAGCACAACTAAAATACGCGCTGCGGTCGACGCCCCTACTCGGAACAGCTTCCCCGACTACCTCTCAGTATGACTGCGTGGGGAAATACGGAACCGTTTCAGCTTACGCGTTGTGCATGACGGCAGACTAATAGACGCGAGCCGAAAACCGGTTTTGCATTGTCACTACTGGGAGTAGTGAGGCTTGAGGTATATAACGTAAGCTGGCACTCGGTCAGGCATCACTCAGCAAGTAACTTCAGCAGAGTTGAGGAGCATCCCAACCAAGGTAAACGAACTTAGAGATAATACATCTCATCCAGGCTTCGCCAAAGTGAAAATCGAACGGTGGAAAAGAGTGACTACCAAAGTTCGTGAAATATAAGTTTGTCTTGTTTGGGCTGAGCAGAGTTTCAAACGTTTTTTTTTTGCAATTAAATATATTATCTTGTGGATACTTAAGTGCAAAGAGTAGGTGTAAAACACAAAGTAATTTAGTAGGCACAGTTAACAATACGATGACTTTTTCAAATAAGATATTAATTTACTTAACTTTTTCATTGGCATGTTCACTCATGTTAGTTTGTGTTTTCACTTGGCAAACGTACATTTAAAGCCACCACTAAGCTCCTCTCTGGTTTCCCAGGTCCGCAGTCATGAAGGTCGCCGTGGTCGTCTTCTGTCTGGCTCTGGTCGCCACCGCCAGTGCTCAGAGCTTCGGTAACCGCCGGTTCCTGCGGCGTCCGGTCGGAGGAGCCACCGGGTTCGGCAACGCCGGCTCCACTCAGGGACAGAGCTCTAGCCCCTTCGGCGGCACTAGCCAGATCCAGAACAGCTTTGCGAATGCTGGGGTAAGCTGAGTGTTTGTGAATTTTACAGTAAAGTTATGTTGTATCCTGGTCAAACCCTTTCGATGTTATTTGTTTCTTGCAGAGATTACTTGTTTCTAGCGTGAGTAAACATGTTTTGTGATAATATTTTTAGTCACTGCCTAACTATTTATTTAATCGTTTGTTTTGTACGACATCAGAACGTACAAGTATCAATGTCAATGAGCTGATATTACCGCGTTCTTTCTATGCTTCCAGGGCTCTGCATTCGGGGGTGGCGTTTCCCTCAACAGCGCCAACAGCAACGTGGGACAGAGCACTGGTCTGTTCGGAAGCAATCAGTTCGCCAACAACCAGGCCACCAGCAACCAGTTCGGCTTCGGACGATAACTGGGCCATTTCTTTGACTACTTTACTCGTTTCCGAATGTCATGTGTCACTTCAGATCGGGTGCCAGTGAGCCGAGTGTGTTTTGTCTTCTTGTTGTCCCTATATTGTCATCCTTGCCTAAAATCTAGGCTGTAATGCGTAATAAAATGTGAACACGCTCAAAATATGTTTTCGGACAACATTGATAAGTGTGTGTGATTTGAACATTTTCAACTGTACACTAAGCTCAGTGAGGAATTTCTAGCAAAGACGTAAAAATGTTAGCCAAGAGCATGAAGGGAATCGAACCCACGCCGTTGCGGTGGTCTAATCGTGGCATGACGAGGCGGTAAAGAGATGATTCATTAGGTTGTTCAGTCAAGCCAAAGGTCAAGCCAAGAGAGGTCATAGATCGCCAGTTGACTTTCCAGGCGGTGGGGGGGGGGGGCATTTTTTGCCCCCCCCCCTTAGTTTTTCCGATATATCTCGAGAACCGCTGCGCCGATCGTCACCAAACTTTCAGTACCCTCCCGGGAGTAGCTAGCGCACATGGTGACCAAAAAAGTTTCCAAAGGCTAAGGCTATGATAGGTTGGCCGCTAATGATGTCAGAGTGACGTCATTTCTGCCATTTTCGACCCAAAAAAGGTTTCGCGGGAAGAGCTGTCAAGCCCACAGCTTTAGGGATACAGAAATATGTTTCGACATAAAAGGTGTGAAATGGAGAGGGCTACAAAACTGCTATTTCGGTTTTTCGATTTTTTTTGATTTTGACCCCTAAAATTAAAAAATATATTTTTTGAATATAACAGTCAAAAAATCCGAAAAAATTGAATTTCGAAAAAAACGGAATTTATGTGATAGTCCTAACCGCCTTATATCTACATACCAAATTTGAGATCGATACCTCTTTTTTGGCCAAGTTATAGCAAAAAAGAACTGTTCAAAATTGATGACGTCAAATTTTTAAGCTCAATTTTTAGCAATTCTAGACCTCGTAGCGCAAAACAAGGATCACCATTAGACTCCCCGTGAGGAGTTGCATCGAATCAATACCCATTTTATGCAAAAATATCAACTTTGAAATTTGACCTTTTTTGACCTGACTTTGACCTGACCTCCACCAGAAAGTGACCTAAACCGTACCTGATGGTCTTATAACCAACACCATTGAGTTGGAAATGAAAAACTGGCCATAAAACATGCATCGCATAACCTTAGTAAAATTGGGTTCATGTGGTGACCCTTGGTGACCTTTGGTGACCTGACCTGTGACCTGACCTGGTATGACCAGTGACCTCTAATAGCAACATATGTACTAGACAACTGACGTTTTATCGCTGATTTTCGACAAAATGCGTTTTACTCGGTGTTATAGCGCTTTCCCTAAAAGCCCCGTGAACGGTGAAACATTTTATCTTTGACCTGACCTGTGACGTCATCGGTGACCCCGAGGTCAATGAAATTTGGTTTCCCTACACGAATTTGACAGGGCTATCGAACGCCGTTTGAATTTTCCGGATCCGTTCTGCAGTAGTTTCGGAGATACGGGGGGGGGGGCAAAAATGCCCCCCCCCCCACCGCGCAGAAGGTGGCCGGGAGGCCCACCGCCTGCCGGGTTAACCCGGATTAGATATTTATATCGACAAGGCATTGCATTGCTAGTAATGTTCATGCTCACTTATAAGTTTGCTTCTAATCAGTATCAGGGCATATACCTGGACTAGTCGCATTTTTAGAAAAATTACATGCTTCTTGAATCTTATGCCCCTCCCTTACATACTTGAGCGCTGCAGCGCTGAAGTATGTAAGGGAGGGGGAGTCGTTGGACCCCTTGCCGTTCGGCCCCTGATGGAACTAAAGCATTGAAAAAAAAGATCGAGGGTGTTGCCCGTAGCGAGAGTAAGCCGATGATACCCGATTTTACGGTCTTATCAGGTCGTTGGTTGACCTTCCATGTCAGGCCACTAATCCAAAAGTCTTTGTGAAGTGAGGTTGCTTTGGGTTTTTCGAAGCCTGATTACGAATTTTAAATCATGAAAAAATTATCACGGCCACGGGCTTACAAATTCACAAATTCTTACGGTCCATGGTTTTGATCAAAGATGATGTATTCATGTATTTGCAGTAGGTATTTGGAGTGAATGTGGATTGCCAGGTCAGGTCAGGTCAACCAGTGGGCATCCTGCCGGCTAGCCATAGTCTGTTTTAATCACCACTGACATCTTTTTTAACATGTTAGGACATGTACCGAAACTACTTCTCAAATGTTTAAATGGGTGCTAAATTCGAACGTTAGGCGGCACGGGCGGACATCGATAGCAGCGCCTCTATCGGTCACTAGGAAAAGCTGGGCTGTAGGCGACGAAATACCGGCTGAGTTGTCACACGTTGAATAGGTTTATAGCCATCCGTCTTGTGAAAAAGTTGAACTTTTGCCTTTAATATTTCTACAGGCAATTTTAGAAGTGTCTTCACATGGATTACAAAACCGTTTAGATTATTTTATTCACTTCAAGCCTTTCCTATTGTTCTTGATGATGCGGGAACTATTTATAATTAGTGTTTCCAGCTTAGTAAAAGAACATACTGTGCAAACGATGAAAAAAGCATAAATGGAAGATTTTAAATGCAATTTTCTCTAACAATTAACGGTAAATTCTCTACATATCAAGGAAAAGGTGCATGCTAACTGATAATTTAAAGTTCTTGGGGCCAGTTGTTTTCTTCTTTTCTTACGTCGCCCCAATGGCCGCGAATACACTTGTGATAACGCCTATCGAATCAGCAAATAAATTACCCTAGACACATGTCACAATAAAAAGTGAATTAAGGTCAGCCAGGGTCAATAACGTTGACCTTACCTTCACTTGACCTTGAAACAATATAAATACGTGAAACAAACATCATTTCACATGTTGGAACGTTAAGAAACACAAAACGACTGGAAACACACGGATAATGTGAGCTGACATAAGCCAAATCGCGATTCCAGCCTGATATGGTCTCGAGGAACAGGCCACAGGTCAAAGATCATTTATTTCAGGGTCATAAAACACTCAGGGTGGGTGTAAATTGATAAATCGAGGGTACTGAAAGTTTTGTTGCGAGCGACCGCTTTTTGCGCGAGTTATTTGTGAAAAACGAGGGTGATCCGTTGCCCCCTCCCCTATAAATGCTAGGTTCAGTTCAGCTATAGCTAACTAGGAAACTCCGAACTTGTTGCTAACTATCTCAATAGTCCTGCACCAAGCTGTTATTTTTTGACAGTGGCACTAGTTGCAACATCAACAGCTTCCCCTCGGTGAACATACACTGTGCAAGCTACCCGAAAAACATTCAGCCGCTTGGAGAAACATGCATCGATTCTGAAAAATATCCACCGGCAACTGGAGACCTGTTTCAGCACCCCTTTGGAAATCCCGGACGAAGTCATGAAATATCAATGTGATCTCTGCTGAACATGGTTTCGTCTGAGAAAATACCGTCAAAACAAAAACAGAACATGTCGGTCAGTCTCCAACAGGAAATTCTTGATCGATCGACCCCTGATGTGCCAGCACGGAATACAATAAAAACTATACAGTGATTCTTGCAAAAGTGATCCGGCGTTGAGCAACAACCATGCTGGTGGCAGGTGCTGTCACGAGAGTCTGTTCTATTTTGGGCATATAAGTCGGTGTTGCGGTTGTGGTTGGCCTCGATAGACGAAAACAAAGTTGCTGATGGTCTGTTTACATCTTTGTGAGCACACAGGCGTGAATTGTGGGCATTGGAGGGAGAAACCAGGGTACGCCTCTTGTATAACCCTCGCCATACATACCCGTTTTAGAAGTTTAGACCATCATCGCTCGAGCTGTTTTAACCCTCGCCCGTAAACGGTGTTTTGCCACCTTCGCCCATGCAGGGGGGGGGGGGGTGCGACCCCCCTGGCGTTTGAATAAGAAGCGTCGTAGAGCTTAGCGGAAAAGACCAACGGATTGCTCTCAACGAAATCTCGCGATTGGTGGTGTATTTTTTGGTCCTAGGTCAACATTTGACCTACTTATGACCGGTCAAAGGTTAAATTTTCGGAAAAAATCTAACTTTTTCAGATTTCCGCGCCGATTGCGGCAAAACGGTAAAAGATATCGACTTGAAACCTTCACTATCGTGATCCTTGATCAATTCTCTATCGTTTGGTGTGTATTTCGATGTCATAACTCTAAAAATGATGCGTTGGGAGCATCGGAAGTCTGCAAGGTCATTTGTGCATTGGGTCACGTCAGGCGTGTGACGTCACTGACCTGACCCTGACCCAAAATGAACTACAAGAAACAACCGACGATGCCTGAAATGGATAGCAAATTCGAATTCAGGGCATCAAAATACCCCGAAAATGCATACAAGTGCAAGAAGTCATTACAGGTCAACCGAGATCACTGACCTTACCTTGACCTTTAGTGACCTTCAAAATGTCAACGGACATTGTGCCAATGTCAAATCAGCCAGTTGTGATTCTAAAACAATCCATCAGTGCGTCAGGTCAGTCGGCATTTATACCGATGTGAAGCAATCTCCAATTTAGCGTAAATCTGGCAGGAGGTTGTTCCCTTTATGACGTCATAACTCCGTGACCTGACATGACCTTGACAAAAAAAAAATACCGAAAGTTGCGCGAAGGATGCCCCAAAGGGTACTGAAAATTTGAGCGGGCTATCTGAAATGGTTCGGCGCGTAGCTAAGAAAAACCTCAGGGGCGGTTGCACCAACCAACCCCCCCCCCCCCCCTACATGGGCGAGGGTTAATTTAGCCCCACAACTCTAGGGCCGCATTTTTAGGGCCACACCTCCACGAAATTTTGAATTTTGCGTTTAGGGCATCACAAAAGTAAACTTTACGGCGAGGAAGGGCTTTATTCAAAGCGTCGTTTCCATGACAACCAAGCTCCTGGATGGAGCCCCGCGACACGATTACTTTGTAGGGCCTTGGTTTGTAGCGGCACGGGGGCAGACGCGTCCGAATCCTGTCCGCTTTTTCATTAACCCGTGTCCTGCTGGGGGACGGGGGGGGGTTGAACATCCCCTGCGGTTTTCCGCGATCCACTGATATGCAACATGACGTCACATGCAGGGACGCGGGAACTACTTTCAGACGGGGGGGGGGGGGGGGCACACCATAATAGAGATCAACCTGGGGTACCCCC